CTGCCACCCCTTTTCTGCACCCCACCTCACCCCCACATCAGGAAGGCCATTCCAAATGGAGGTGTGGAAGGTTTTTCTTTCTCTAAAATATGCTAATTATACATGTAAAGCGATATGGAACAATAGAGGTATTTTTAGTGTGAAGCCATCCATTGTGTAGGAGTGCCTTTCACAAGGAAGCTGAGGCGACTGGTTTGGGCGAAGATCACTGTTACATTGTGGTTGGAGCGGTTTCGAGGTCGTATTTTCCAATAGGCACATAGCACCTGGGAGGGTTTCTTAATACACTTCCGTTTACCCTTGAAATAAGAGCGACCTATTTCAGAAGACAAGTAACTGGTGGTTACTTTTAGGTGGTTTTTCATTTGAGCCCAAGGGGTTCTCATATTAGCAATGAATGCCTTTGGAGCAATATGCGTTTGCTAACTACGTGGATAAGAACTAATGCTGAGTATATTTGATTTATAGTTATAGGGAAGTTTTAGAAGCTTAGCTGATACCTTCATTCCGAGATGAGAAACGATACGAACAGCCGTGAGTGCTTATGTTGCAGTGGGCACTGGGCCATATTATACAAACATCGTCTCATTTAATCCTCATTTCAGACTTGAGGCAGTTTGTCAGTTAAGAATTGCACACACTGACTGTCGGAGTGCAGTGTTTATCATTCATCACAGCCAGTTGGTCACAGCTGTCCTTGTTCCTCCCACGGCTTCACTTGACCAGCCTAAAAAATTTTTTGCACACAACTGCAAGTAAGTAATAGCGACCAGAAATAACGGGGTCTTAGACAAGAGAGAGCTTTCTTTTCTTTCCCACGTAGAAGCCGTCGGGAGGTAAGTAGACCAAGGCGTGGGGGAGCCCGCCTCACCAGGTCCCGGGCTCTTTCTCACCACGCTCTGCCCCACTTAGCCCGCGTTTCCACCTTTCCATCCTCACGTTCATATCAGGACCCGAGACACCTGCTGAGGCATCAGCCATCAGGTCTCCAGGGGCTGGAAAAAGGCAGGAGGAGGAGGGGGAGGGAGGGGGGGTGAATAGGGCTTCCTCAGAAGTGCCGCCCCTCCAACAACCACCTGCCACTCAGTGGCCACCCATCCACCAGGTATAAGGAAGGCTTGTTACTGGAAGGCAGCAGGCTGCTTCTCCCACAAGAATCTGGGACTATTTTTATTTCCAGGTGAAGAAATGGAAAGAGAAATGGAACCAGTTTAATCTGTCTCACCGTGGCTGCTGCTTTCCTGACTCTCTCCCTCCCTCCTCCAGTCCTTCTCTCCCTCTCTCCATCCCTCCCTCCTTCCTTTCTTCCCTTCCTCTTCCCCCGCCCTCCCTCTGTCTTTTCTGTGTTTGCTAATTTAGCAGTTATAAAATGATAACTAAAGGTTTTGTTACTATAATTGTCAGTTACTACAGAAAGTGAACAGTCTTCCAGTTTTGTTTATAATTTATATATCCTCTTGTGAATTGCCTGTTCATATAATTTGGCCATTAATTTATTAGGATCTTATTTTTTATTGTAATTTGTGGTTTATATCTACCACAAACATTTTTTAAAAAATATTTATTTCAAAGAGGAAGTGAGAGGGAGAGAGAAATAGAAACATCAATGATGAGAATCATTGATTGGCTGCCTCCTGCACGCCCCCTACTGGGGATTAAGCTCACAACCCGGGTATGTGCCCTGACCGGGAATCCAACTGTGATCTCCTGGTTCAACCACTGAGCCACACTGGCTGGCTACTACAAACATTTACTGGAGAAAAGAATAAAAGAAAAAACAAGAACAAAAATAAGAAAAGTATTAAAAAACAAAGAAAAACATGAGTGTACAGATGATGTGTGGTGGAAGTATGCACTGGAACCTGTATAATGTTGTTAACCAGTGTCAGACCAATAAATTCAATAAAACATGAAACTGAAATAGAGAACAAACAAACAACAAAATCCTGTCATTCTCAGGAGCATTTGAGGTCTTGCTTCCTGGCAATTGCCAGTTTGAGCTCAAATAAACTCATAAAAATGCTTTCCAGGTTTGGATACTTCTTACATAGACAACATTAAAACTTTTAAAAGTTTGTGTATTGCCTAATATTATCTCCTAATATTTGTAGCAAACCTGGTTACTTTTGGAAACTTCTCAGTATAAAATAAATGACTCTTTGTGATTTGGCCACTGGATATATGTGTGTGTGTGTGTGTGTGTGTGTGTGTGTGTATCTGAAATCACAACTGTAAATCTCCCTTTACGGGATCAGCTTTATTTTATTTTTATTGTTTTTTATGGGATCAGCTTTAATTAAGAGAACCTTAATGCCATTATCTTGGATGTAACGCCTTTGCCAGGCCGTCTGAGAGAAATCACTTCTCTTTGCTGATAAGAGAAGTAAGTAGGATATTTAGGACCCATGGGGCTACCTAATCAGGTTAAAACACACCTCAAATTAAAGCTTGTTCTGCTCAGTAGTAAGTGGCAGATTTCCTGGGTTTCTTTTCTTGCCGCTTAATACAAAGAGCAAGGAGACTTGCTGCACATTGTCTTATTACTCAAACGTAAGCCTTTATGAATGTTAAAATTGTAAAACGTGTTTACATTGCTATGAGAAGGTATAAAACTTGGCTGGTAGAAGAGTTATATGTTGAGTGAAGACTGAACTTGTTGTTGTCACTGAACTTAAGATGAACTTAAAAAAAATATTTTCCCACCCAACTACATTGTTTCATTCTTTAACACTATAAATGGCAAGAGTCCCTTTTGGTTTTTAAGTCTGCTGCCATGATTTAAATGACTATTTTCAGAGAAAAAAAAATTATATAATTTGTATACAATAATATTCACCATTTATAGTGTATAATTTAATGATATTTAGTACAGCCACCAGGTATCACCACTATTTAATTCTCACCACATGTTCTTGTTTTCATATTTTGATTGCAGGAATCTGTGGTTCATCTTCCCATCTTTGGAAACATGATATGCAGTCAGTAGATGTTTAATGTGTACTAAGGGCCTCTTTATAACCAAAGAGGCCCTCAGTCCACAGGATTTAAATGTTACAGATAAAGAACACCCTCCAGGTGGGCTCTCCCACCCTGAAGCACCTGCCCACGCCTTCTCCTTCCCTCCTCCTTCCCCCTCAGGCACATAACTCTTAAACCAGTGGTTCTCAGCCTTCTGGCCCTTTAAATACAGTTCCTCATCTTGTGACCCAACCATAAAATTATTTTCGTTGCTACTTCATAACTGTAATGTTGCTACTGTTATGAATCATAATGTAAATATCTGATATGCAGGATGGTCTTAGGCGACCCCTGTGAAAGGGTTGTGTGATCGCCAAAGGGGTCAAGACCCACAGGTTGAGAACCGCTGCTCTAAACTCTAAGGGACCCCCAGAGACTTGCAACCAGGGGAGCCATGAGCAGCAGCAGCTTGTCCCAGGCTCACCCCCTGAACCTGCCCCTAGGCCCCTTTTCTCTGACTCCCCATGAGCCAAAGCAGCCCCTCCAGGGCTCTCTGTCCTCAGCCCTTCCTGTTGCACTGTTCCCGCTTTAATAAATGTACACCCCCCCCCCAAAAAAAAGCATACCCCTTCAAAGGGTGTTGGGACAATGTCTGGAAGGAAACAAGGGTAGTTTCTAGAACAGTCTGTCTTCAGGTCTTTCGGGCTTCCAGACGGGCTGAGAGACCAATTATGTTTACTTTCCCCGCTCTGTGAAATAATAACTTTTCATGCTTTTCATGGTGTCTCTTGGGAAGGGGATTTCCAGGACTTATTTCTGAGCATTATTGACCTATCTGTCACTGTGACAGCATTTTAAGAAAACAAAGGATGTCTACCTTGCAGTGTAGTTGCTTTTATGTGTGTCTGCGGGGTCCCAGCTGGAAGAAAAACTCCTCAGGGTGCGGAGCATTCAGACGCTCCCAGGTCCCCACAGGGGCCCACGCGACACATGCAGTGCTGGTTCTTGCCAACATTAAGGACTTGATGGGCTGCCTACGTCCCACTGCTTCTCACCAGGGGTCTGAAGAGTGATTGAAGAATCTCAGAACCTCCTTTTGTGAACAATTTATTTTGAAAAACTGTTACACTTCTTGGAAAGCAGAGGATGGTAAAATGAGCCTCTTATATGTGCTGGCATCAAAATAATGATGCCAGTGTTATTACTCACAATATAATTACTGAGACCAGATTAGGAGTTCTGTGGATCCCACTAGGGGTGTAGAGTTAAACAACTGTATCTTTTTTTTAAAAAAATACATACTTTATTGATTTTTTACAGAGAGGAAGGGAGAAGGATAGAGACTTAGAAACATTGATGAGAGAGAAACATTGATCAGCTGCCTCCTGCACACCCCCTACTGGTTGTTTGTACCCGCAACCAAGGTACATGCCCTTGACCGGAATCGAACTTGGGACCCTTCAGTCCGCAGGCCGACGCTCTATCCACTGAGCCAACCCAGCCAGGGCTAAACGACTGTATCTTAAAGTCATTTGGAAAATATTTTACTCCTTGCTCCTCAGCTTTCTTTGGTTTATTTTTCTTGTGGTTTGGGAGATTAAGAATCCTTTTTCAGGATTAAATACAGAAAGGGGGGATGAAAAGAAGAGCTTCATGGCTCTGTCAGTAACAAGAATAATACACAAGACCGCGCCCTGTGACGTATGGTCACACTGTGTAGACAGGCCCATGGGAATGGAAAGACCTGGCATGGAGATTACTTCTCTGTAGTGAAGCCCACTCCACTCCCACTCAGAGGCTACTGGTCAGATTGTCCAGAGCTCACCTGGCCCCACGCAGGGCGGATGGCTAGCCATTGGGGCCCAATGATCTCATGTGGCCATTTAACCTCTCTGTGTTTCAGATGCATTAATATGTAAGACCCACTTCACAGATTTTCTGTGAAGATTGAAGAAAAATATGTACTCAGCTACAGCTCATTCCGTGTCCCCTCTCCTGGTTCCATCAGGGAAGCCGTGTGGGGAAACCGGAACCATTAGAAGATGCCAACCAAGCGGGTGGAGCCGGTCACCGTCCTCAGCCTTCGGAGGTTGAGCCTGGGAGCCCCAGAGCCACAGCCAAAAGGTCAGGTGATCTAGAAGTCTCTGACCTCAAGCTGCTGCTTAATTCCACCCCCTCCCCCCGGATTTACTAGTTTTTATAACAGGAATTGGTTTCCCAACATCCTCTGGGGTGAGCAATAGTCCACACACATTTCCTACCCACACAGGCTGTTCTTTTCACTTTGCTTTTCCTCGTTAGAGCCCAAGACTTTCACCGTGGAAGATGCCGTGGAGACCATCGGGTTCGGGCGCTTCCACATCGCCCTGTTCCTCATCATGGGCAGCACTGGGGTGAGTGCGGCTTGGAGACCGTTTGAGTCTCCCGAGCTATTTCCTTGTGGGACACATAGAGTCTTGCACGGACCTCAGCGCAGGGCGGTCCACTTGGGCGGATGTGAGGGGGGCAGGGAGTTTGTGAGGCGAACATGTCCCCAACAATTCATTTCCCCCTGATCCCCACTTGATACCCGTTTCCCTTTTAATGATGTCATTTTCATCCCTTCCTCCAGGTACAAAACCTCAGAACTATCTGTGACTTTCTTCTTCATTATTCTGAGCTGGATTTCTTTCCTCTATTTCTATTTATTCTATCAATTCTTTTCTAGCATCCACTTCATTTCCCTGGGAGATACACTCACCCCGTAATGGAGAGCAAGATATGGACAGAGGATGATAATTAACCTTTCTGTTGAAAGGAGTATTTAGGCCTTAGCCGGTGTGCTCAGTGGTTAGAGTGTCGACCCACGCACAGAAGGATCTCGGGTTCGATTCCTGGTCAAGGGCACGTACCTGGGTTGCAAGTTCATCCCTGACCCCAGTCAGGGTGTGTGTGGTGTGTGTGGAAGGCAATCCATCAATGTTTCTCTCTCACATCTCTCTCCTCTCTCTCTCTCTCTCTCTCTCTCTCTCTCTCTCTCTCTCTCTCTTCCTCTCTCTTTCTTTCTCTCTCCCTTCCTTCCACTGTCTCTAAAAATCAATTGGGAAAGGGGGGAGGAGGGGGGAGGGTAAGAGATCAACCGAAGGACTTGTATGCATGCAAGCATAACCAATGGAATAAGACACTGGGGGGTAGGGGAGGCCGGGGATTGTCAAGGGTGGGGGTGGGGGGGAAAGGAGACATATGTAATACTCTTTGTAATACTTTAAGCAAGAAAAAAAAAAGTATCCTCAAGTGAGGGTTAACAAAAAAAAAAAAAAAAAAAGAAAGGAATATTTAGCAGCACATACTGTTTGCTAAGAAGACATTCTTTCCTGATGATGAACTCATATTGTTTGTACTTGTTCCTTTATTGTTGTCTGGCTTTCATGACCTTGTCTCCTCATCCCAACTTCTTGAGAAAGGGACTATTTTAAAAATCCATTTGCCAGGGGCATGTCCTGAGATCTCCACGAGGATGAGTATAAAACAACAAAGCTAGGTCGAAGTGGATGGCGGGGTGAGCCACTAGCTACGTGACTGGCCTCCGCACAACACCCTCAGATACAGTGCAAATGCACGCATCCCCAACATCACAAGTAAATATGAGCGATAAATCTGGGGACATTTCAAAATGTTCAAGTACTGCTAAGTGGGTACGCAATAGGTGCTCCCTAAATGGGGGAGGGGAGGGAAGAGGAGGCTAAAGGGTGGTGGAAGGCAGGCGTGGGGAGAAGTGGTGACAGGCTGGCACTCAGACACAGCATTTTTCCTCCTTTTTCTTAAGATTGCCGAGGCCATGGAGATCATGTTAATAGCGGTTGTGTCTCCCGTCATCCGCTGTGAATGGCAGCTGGAGAATTGGCAGGTGGCGTTAGTGACCACGGTGAGTGACCTGCTTCCTGAGCTGCAAATGAGCCACCTGGAGACCAGGGCTTCCACCCCTTCCCCATCCCACGGGGCGAGACCCGAAGGGTACCCCACCCCTAGTCTGTTGGCTTTCAAAGCTGATGCGTCTGCAGGCTCCAACCAGCATTTGAGGCCTTTCTTCCCGTTTTTCCCCACCCTGGAGAGCATAACTTTGAATTGCTTATTTTCCAGCTCCTAATAAAAGCCCCAAAGAGATAAATGCAAATCAGAGAAAGTAACTCTTAAGCCATGGGTTAGATATGCTTTAACTATTAGTTCAGAACACTAAGAGGCTACTTAGTGTGACCATAGTGACTTAACCAATCACCAAATTGAATTGTTTGTGTTATACACTCAACTTTTCTCAAAGACCATATGAATAGCTTTATGAGTTTCACACCAAGTACTGCTGCAAAGTGGAGCTAAGTTTGCTATAAAACAGTACACGTATTACGCTGGCAGTAGCTTCATCCATCTCATGTTTACCGTGTCTCTTGATTGCATCACATTCCCATAAGGTTAACTTAATCTTGTGTTGTTTGTACAGTAACAGGCTGTAGAGCAGTGGTTCTCAACCTTGGCTGCACATTAGAATCACCTGGGAATCTTTTAAAAATCCTGATTTCTGGCCCCATCCCTCCGGAAATTCTGTTCCTTTG